ATCTTCCTCTTCGCTACTGGAGACAACTTCGCTTCGTTCAGAAGAAGATTCACTTGATAAAACTTCAATGTCTGCTATCTCCTTCGCCCCCGAATACAAACAAACAGTGAGTGAAATAAACCACGCTATCGGAGTGAACACAACCAGTGACGTCATCAATCCATTTCGCTCGGTACCAGGGCCCGGACACGGTTTTGTGTAAAATTTTTGATTTGAACGGTTAAAAAAGATATCTTTCGCTTCTTTTTGGCCAAAGCAAATTATCTCATGATGATCAGCATATTCAAAACTACAGGTTAGAGCAAATATTTCAGATACGAAAATTTCGTTTCAGTAGCACTTTAAGATGTGTTCCCCTGCTAAAAAAAAATTGTCTGCGAGTATTTAAAAATGTTTGTTGAATTTAAACATGTGGATTGGCAGGATAAAACAGCGAAAGTAGATAAAACTTTAGAAACATATTTAATTTCATCCCCTTGGAAATCCCACATTTTTGGGTGACGTGCATTTTTCGGGTCGTACCACGTACCACGTTGACTTTTTTTAGAATTCTTCTTTCGTAATCTACATATACTAGGCTCTCCTTTGTTGTCCTGAACGGGTGCGTGCTACCAAACACCATATTCCCCGCCGGGGCGTAGCAGTTATTTCTGTTTTTTATTGTCCTTTCTTTATTTCCTTTTGTTGCACAATGAGGCAAGCGACATAGCATGGTGCTAGATAAAACTAGCGAATGTTTTGGTTGTGGGGGGCGTGACCACTGCACGCGTTTCGTGTGTCACTTTTGATAATCGCTTCCCCAAACCTTTTATTCCACAAAATTCATCATTTCACCGGTAGAGGTCGTTGTGGACTCTCTTCCGCTATGTGAGTTTATTCTAAAAATTTACCAACGTGGTAACACAAAGGAACTTAAAGGAAACAGCTAAACAAAGAAGAGCAAGCTTGTTTGCTGTCGTTGTTTTTATCAGAGCCTTCTAACAGTCACGACGGCAGCGTTACGGAAGACGTAGATTTAAAAATGAACTTATATTTTAAATTCGAATTTCGCTAATAGCTGGATGTGTCTACCGTCTCTTATAGCGCCACACCTCAACTTGAGCATAATTTAGTATGGGAGCAGCGTCTAACAATAGAAACTTAAATAGTCTTCCATCGGGGTTCCCGTTCTCTGACCAAGCAAATTTTGGTGATTTCACGTTGTCGTTTTGCAGAGGAAGGCTCGAAATTTACAAAGTTTTACAACGCACGTTCTGACCTTTTGTTCTGTTAATTAATTCTTTTGTTTTGCCACGTTCTCGTTGCCATCGTCGAAATGGTTTTCTCTCAGAAGAGGCGTCATTCATTATTTCCAAAATGTTTGTAGTTCCAGTTAAAACACGATGCTTCTCTTCGCCTGTGGATTAATGATGCTGGCAGCAGCTGCCTCTCGTGTAGTCGTATCGAGGGACACCTTTGAAGGTATTATCTGTTATTTTATAGTTTACAACTAATGACAAAAACCAAATCAATACAACAGAGCGAACAGACACACTGCGTGTGCACAAATACTAAATTAAACTTTGCAGAGAGATATTGCAGTCCTTTAAATTGAAATTTCTAGTTTTTTTCTTGCCAGTCGGTAATCATCATTGCTCATCAACCGTTCAAAGGCTGCGTAGCAAGCCAAATTCTCTGCGTGACAAATGTCACTTCTGCTGTTCTAGTAACAAATCTTTAGGGCTATGTTTAAACGTCGGTTTTATTTACTTATTTTTTTTTTTTTAATCCACTGTCCAAGGGTTACTTGAAAGCCAAAGTTACTTGCATGACATGTCATTTTCGCCGCATAAATAAGAGTAGGAAGGAAGAAGAAACATTTCAGAACAATTTTCCTTCTTTTTCCATGTTTCAGGTGAACTTATGGTAAAAGCCATGAGTTTTATCATCCCTAATAGCCAACCCCCTCCCGGTGAGTTTAGCCAACCCCCTCCCGGTGAGTTTAGCCAACCCCCTCCCGGTGAGTTTAGCCAACCCCCTCCCGGAGTCGTGAGCTACGTTTCGGGATTAGTCAGGATAGTGCAACCGGTAGGTGAACTGGTGACGAACATTGGTTTCATTGATGTATCGAATAATATCTAGAACAAACACACGGAGAGTTTCTTAATGCAACGTTCTTGCTGTTCACTTTGCTCTGACCGCTGGTTAACGCGAGGGGATGTTCTTGCTTGTGTTCCGAACACAGCAACAGTGTTGCCGTGTTCTTCCCGCACTTCATTCCAGAAGCCTGCGTAAGTGCTCGTGGGAAGAAATACCATTTTCGTGCTTTATACCGATCTCGTCTCCAGCGTCATTCGTTTACACTTAATTACTGGCCACGTGACCAAAAGGAACGAGGGGTTTTGAAACTGTTGTCTTTGCATCAAGAGTCCAGTGTTAACGAAGTACGCGTCTTTCTCCAGTCCCCTCATCTTTTTTTTTATTATGCGTTCTAGACCTCTAGCCTATGCAACATAAAAAAAGAGCAAAACAGAAAATACAAATTTAAATCAAACCAAAAAACAAAAAAACCAAAGAAAAAGGAAAGATGATAGCGAATGTCGCATTGTATAGGTAAAAAACTGGTACTAATCTTTGGTTACTAGGTGTATTAATCATTATTTAAGTGTTATTAATCTATTTAACAATTTATTTATTCATTTATTCATTTATTCATTCATGCATTTACTCCTTTCAGCGATCAGGTGGCAATACAACCATGTCTCTTTACTTGGAAAATCTTCCTCCAAACAGTCCCCACGGCTTCCATATTCATGAGTTCGGCGATACTTTTACACAGGGTACGCTTATAACTATTTTATTCCCGACAGCGTTTAATTTTTAGCTTCTCCGTACGTTATCGATACATCATCCGGCAAAGAGATGATGAGAGAGGAAAACTCACCATCTCTAGGTTGATACGTTCTTTTCTAATTTTTAAGGAAGTGTGTAGTTACTGAAAGGCAGAATTGTATATCAGATATCGTTATCACAGTAAGTTGGTGAAATGCAGCTCATTACACATAGCTTTTGTATCAGCCCATGTTAGATTCAATCCAATACCATGTGAGCGTAGGAGCTGCACGCGTAGACTTAAGGCTTCTACAGCGCATGTGCATGGAACCGCACAAGGGTCAAACTTCTGCGCTTGTGCGAACATTAAGCTACGCCTTCAACCTGCAGCATGGCACCTCTAAAGGTTTGTGCAAAGCTCAAAAGTTTATGGTAAATCAAGAGAATTTTGATAACTAAGTAAGTTATGTGTTCGAAGTTTTAAGTTCTCTTTTCTCCACTTTTGTATCCTTTCGCAGATTTCCATGCACTTGTCTGCGCTCGGCAAATTGATCCATATGCGCATGCCTGACGTGTAACCGCTGTAAAAATAAGGCCCAATCTCGCTCTAAGAGCACTCCATTAACCCTTTTCTAGGGGAGCAAACGTTTGTCAAAGGAATTAGGATTCTGGGATCGAGATTTAATAACGGTGCACAACAAATCCCCTTTCCTTGCGCCCAAGACGGCTTTTAAAGAATTCGTTATGGGTTTAAAATGAGAAATATCGATGAATGTTTTTCAGGGTGCCAGAGTACTGGTAGCCATTATAATCCGTTTAATATGACCCATGGAGGACCGACGGACAAGATAGGGTAACGCTACATCCACACACTGTCACATTTGGTCACTTCAGTTAGACTTAAACAGTCAAAGTAAAATGGGCGGGTCTCAGTTACTGCTCTGGGGCTTTAAAATTTGAAGTAGTGTACGACCTTATGGACTGAGTATACGGGCCGCACCAGAAAATATTTGCCTTGAGGTCATGCCGGGCCCGTCCTTTTTTCTGACTGAGAGTTAAATATTTTTTCGTCCGGCCTGGTCGAGGCCCGGTCGATAAGAATATTATCATATTACTTCCGCTCGTTTTCTTTCTTTCTTTCTTTCTTTCTATCTCTCTCTCTCTCTTTAGATTGTTGCCTGCCTATTTGCTACCTTTTCTCCTTTTGCATTTTTTCATCGTGCAAACAACTTTAAAATGTGTTTTGTTGATGTGCAGCTTAAATTCACACTTCTCTTTTGGCAGCTATACTGAAATACAGAGAATGTTAAGCATTGTGAAGGAAATACCGCGTGTTCTGTTCGACAAGCGTAGCAAATACTCAGTCGTAGGTACAAAGACCCAAAAAACCAATAAATTTTAGATTTTTGCAGATGCCGAAGGTCATTTACGAATAAATATTTTCCACCCAAGCCCCCGTCAATAGGAAATATTTTTTATTCTTTCACAAGTCAATTTTTGAACAAAATCCTGTCTTGGCTATGACCTAAATTCGACCTTAAAGTTAAAGATTTTTGAAGGTACTCGAATCATTTTTTTCCTGATAAAACTCGTTCTTTTCTTTTTAACAAAATAATTTTTCTACATATGGTTTGCGCTTGGAAAGACGAACTGCCTCCATTTTCGAATAATTAAATTTAAGACTTTTTTCACAATTTATTTCGGAAAACGTATTTCGTAGCAAATACGCATTTTAGTAGCAAATACGCACTTTCAGTTCTCGGTGACAAAGTGTTATTTTTTCAACAAAATACGATGGGTTGATTGCATTTAGGCCCACAAGAGGACAGATCTGACAAGTAACATGTTCTGAACGAACAAAGAAATAAAATATCTTTCTTTGATTTTGTTATTTTTAGTCTCATGTTAAACCTTTCGTCTTCCTTTTTTGTGTGCTAAATGTTGGGAGGCTTTACCACTCGCTTGGCTTTTAACGAGAAGTATTGAGACACTGGACTCTTCTCTCTTTTTATTCTTTCCTACTACAACGTTTCGGTTCTCTTCTTCTACTACTGCTGCTGCTACTTTTCTTCTACTTTTTGCAAGGAGTGGCCACGTATTAAATACAAAAATCACAGACATGTTTGGGTTAGCTGACTGTGGGAGTTTCCATAGTGTATTCGTTGTTTTGTAAAGGGTGGCTCGCTCCGAAGCACTTGGCGAGCACCAAGGAACCAATTAAACGCCAATGATCGAGCCGCGCACGAAAATCACGCGCACAAACAGAATCTTCAGTATGGGTAAAACTCAAGGTCAGTTTTACCAACCCAAACATGACCACCTATGACACTAATTATTCTCAACCATATCAAACGATTAAAATGTCTGGCACGGTAGGAAGAAAATCAGTGAACTGAGCCCAGTTGAAGCACACACTAAAAACAAAAGATCAAAACTATAAATTTACCAAAATAACACGTAGGCGCAAAAAGGCGAGACCTTACAAAAGAAAAGGTAAACCTAAAAATACTCAAAATAGCAATCCTTTAAAATTCTCTACAACATAAATTTAAGGCTTGCTTTGTTTCATTAAGTCTTCGGTCGTTTTTTATTGCATTTTTTAGCCTAGGTGTTTTGATGTTTTAATGCCTTTTAATGCTCTTGGAAATCTTAGATATCTGTGTGTCTCGAAACTGAAGTTAAATCGCTGATCTAACCCCTTAGTAAGAGATCATGAAAACTTAATGTTACTGGTTAGAATACAAGCTGTCCTTCTTTCCCGCCCATTGAATGAAAAGAGGATACAGATTTTGGCCCACGCACAAGTAGTTAAGACAGAGAAGGCATATCTCGGGCACTGTTTATACAGACAGGGTTCATTTGTAATCGCATAGCTTTCGAAGACGTTACGCCCTTCGTTTACGCGTCGCCGATCGGGACCACTTCTGAAACAAGCTCGTTTTGAAAACTTTATCAAACGAGGAGCGTTTTCAAAACGATTCGGTTTCGTTCGTTGTTTAAACGGGCGAAACCGGCTCGTTTTGAAAATGGTTTGCCGCGTCAGGTTCTTGCTCGTTTGCTAAATGAGGGACTGCCTCCTTTTCTCGTTCATTCTTAAGGGACACTTGAGCTACGAGATCTACATTCGGAACGTAATAATTTGTTCTTCGAATTTTGCACGTGTTCATAGTTATAGTTAGTATAGTTATCGTTTATAGTTACAACTTTAACCTAAATCGAGGTTGTCAGTTGCACCGGCGAGCACTTGCATTTGTCGCACTTACAAGAAAAGAAAAGAAAAGAAAAACACATCATCATTCAAGTACATTCATTTTAATGAAATTTCCCCTGGCAAAGTAAGTTGATAGATCAACATTATATGATCTCCACCAATTTTTGACAATATCTCCTTGCCAACGCACGAGTCACGGCATGACAGTTAACAATAGCACCAACAATACAAGAAACGGCCAGGGATAGGATTAATCTTATAGGGACGCGTGGAAGAACCACAGTTTCCGTTCCCGACAACGGCTGTAGTCAATAAGAAAAGGATAAATCAGGAAGTAATGAGACATAATTTTCTTTAAATTCTACCAGTTAAATTAAACGTTTGTAACTATAAAGTACATACTTATATGTGATCGTCTTCAACTCAATAAATATATCACAAAATTGATGTTTTAAACCCGAAGACAATAAATAGGAAGTAATGTGCTTCATGTAACGGGTAAAGTCATGTCTTCTCAGACAGAGAAATCGTTCGAGTGGGAATAAGGAGTGTGGAATGGTCATGATTAATTACGTTTTATATCAGGCAGATATACGGTAGTAGAAAAACAACATGAACCAAAGAATCGTCGAATAAAAACTGTTTCGTCAGTTGTGGGCGTTTGGTTCACTGTTATCAAACATCTTTATTGACGACTTTAGTGTCAGACAATCAAAGAAGTGCGTTCGAATCCTAGCTAAAAGAGAGTCACATTGTTATGAAATGGTCAGATGAAAGTATACGAAACGATTTGATATTTACCCAGTGAGTCGGCTAGGTCCACAGCTGACAAAATGACTTACATTAGTATTATGACATCGCTAGAACGTATCTCATTAGCGGATAAATTAACTTAATGATTAATACTAGAATTTCTCGACGAAACAAAAACGTTTATTATTTCTTAACGTTTTGTTAACATAAGCCTAAAAAAGAACACCAAGGCCAGTCAG